ATATATATATAATATATATTTTTTTTAAATGGTTATTTTAACAATTTTGGAAATTTAATCGGGACCTCCTAAATTGGTCTAAAAAAAATAACACCAAATTTTTTCAGATTTTATTAAACAATTTTAACTCTAGCCACCAAGGCACTGATAGTCGGAAAAACATCTTTGTGAATGAAATTCGACATTCTAATTCTTAATTAATTTTAAAGGTTTTTTTTTAATTAGCTTGAATAAGTTAAAAGCTCATTTTGCATAAATTTTGATTACGGTCCAAAATAAAAATTGCCGATCCAATGAAGTGAGCAGAAAAAAATCAAAATTATATAATAACGAATATTGAATCGGCAATTTTTATTTATTTAATTTCAAGTAAATAAAAAAAAAATTTTTTTAATTGGTTAAAAATTAGAGCTGTGTCAGCCGAATTTTTTCGTCTACTATACGGGGTCTTAAAAAATATTGCTTTTAAATAGGAATTTTTTTTTTAATAGTCTTTTGACAGCTGATAGCTATCATTCCTGTAACTTCATGAAACTTCATGAAAATAAAAAATATTTTCCGATATTTATTGCCAGTGCTGAAACTAGACAGTACATGTTTCGTGCGCTATAAATTTTCAGCATTGACAGTGAATATCGGAACACACTCAAAGTTTTCGGAGGAAATTAGTTCTTTTTGGCTGAACTTTTACATCAGTTTATCTTTCTTCCTCTTCCTTTCTCCTGGAGAAAACATTTATACTAAGAATTCATTTTTACGTAAAAATGAAAATAAGAGGTACAACTTCCAATGACTTTGATGTTGACAAATGTTATCCAGAACATGATCCTGAACAATATTCAAGAGGTTTTAGCCGTCGGACATTCTTGCGTAATGCTAATGCCGACAATACTGTAACTTTTAAGCCTCGTAACTCGAAAAGTACATAATGAAAAATAACTTTATTATAGTGTTTTCAAAAATTCTTGATACCAAATTCTGCTACTAAAATTAAGTGTTCCATTAAAAAAAATCGAAGTGACCTTGATTTGACCTTGATGCCATCCTTCAAGGTCAAATCAATGATATATTTTTATGTCCCTCTCCGAACCATATAATTTTTGTTTGAAAAATTTTTCCATATCTACTATAGTTTTCGAGAAATCTTATTTGAAATGGGACATTTTGTGTGTGTGTGTGTGGGCGCGCGCGCGCGCGTGTGTGTGTGTATAAATTATTCTACCTTGATTAAAAGAATTATCTGTTTTTGAAGCTGACATTTCAGAGTGACATGTGAATTCATCTAAATCGTCATCACTATCTGTTCTTTGTGACACATCTTCCTGGAAACAACATAATCTTTGTAAAATAACGAAAGTTTGCACATATTTTCATTTTGAATTATTATAATAATACAAAATATTCAAAGAAACGAACCATTTTCTCTGACATCCATGATGGTAAACAGTAATAAAATTCTGGATGGGCAGGTACGGGTCTAAATGCAAGTGCCATTATCCTTTTGAATTTATTTTTTATCAAATTGTGTAATGGTTTAACATCGTTGCATGCAGAGATTTTCAATTGATTCAGCAGATCACCTTTTGGTAACATGCTCAAATGTCTGCATACCAATCGTAAATAATTTGTAATATTAATTTCAATCAGATTTTCTTCACATTGTGCCACGGCAGCCTCCATATCCTCATAGCTTAGTGATTGCTGCAGTGCAAGTGACTTATAAACTGCAACCACATAACAATGACAATGTGCTAGACTCAACAATTTGCAATGCTCCATCAAACTTCGTTGATCTATCACAAAAAATCAATTTTATTGTAAAACGTGTTTAATTGCTAACAGCAATGAAATAAGGTAATGCCAATAAATATTCTTTAAAAGATCCGCATCTTTCTTTTACATTATCATTATTATGTCAAAAATATTTACCGCTAGAAATATTGTCAGAATCTTCACTCTTTGGTTCCGGAGATGAAGGCTTAGTGTTACTTTCCGATTTCAGACTGACGAAATCTTCGGAAATTTGCTCTCCGATCTTAAAGGTATGATCTTGATAGATATCTTTATTCTGAGGTGTTTGCAACTGGCCGACCAGTGCATCAATTAATAGTGCTAACGAACAATCATACACATATACAGGTATAATAAGACTTCCCTCATTGTCGACGTTATCATAATTATGGTCTATAATATTAGCTTTCGACGTGCTATTTGCAATAGTAGAGTGACTAGAAATTTTGGACTCTCTGCGTTCCAATGTCACAAATTCAGATAAATTCTCTGTGCACAAAGTTGGAGACGGTACCTTTTCGTTCATATCAAGATCGAAAATATCAGAATCATAATTCTTCTCAGAATTGTTACTTGTACAATTATCGCCTGTGTACATTATCAGGCGGACATCTTTTTCAGTGGCTGGTAATATCGTGATAATAACATGTGTCGTACTAATTCCTTTAACGAAACATTTCCACCTCGGATAAATATCTGACACGTTATCTCTACAATTTTTTTCTAAAAAAGACGTTATATAATAAACAATAATGTAAAAAGCTGTAGAATATTATATTTTCATAAAAAATGCAAATAAATATAATAATGTAAAATATCTAATATCTTTATAATGTGATACTTAACAAGAGAATAAAAACTGAAAGAGTATTATTGTACCTCTTTGCATAAAGAAAGGTAATGGTGGAATATTCTCACGTGGCCTATTAAGAAGCATTTTAGTGAACATTTGCGACTCCGCTGACGTAAGTAATAGTTCTTTATTGTGCAATTGTTTCATATGTTCCAGGAAGTTTCCCATAAGAATTCTGTTTGCACTATCTCTATCCTCATCGATATGGACAGAATCTAGTAGAAAATAAGATCAGTTACTTATTTTGTTTTTCTATTTTTTTTACTGTTTTAAAAAAATACGTTTCCTAACCATCAACAAACATTGAGAACAAAAGTTCCGCTTGCTGACACTTTGATAAAATACTGAGAGTATCGAAGGAGAAATACATGGAATGTATTCTTTCGTCGATGATTGGTGTCGCCTCGAAAGGTTCGATTGGATTTGGACATTCTGAGATACGATCTGTAGACGCACCCACAGTACCATGATACTTAACTCCTTGGTGCGCTTGTCCGAATACAATCTCGGTGTCTTTTTCCACCGGTGTTACTTGGCACAAAAGGCTCAAGTATTCTAAGGTCAATAGAGCGTTAATACATTCCTCGTCTATTCGGGCAATCTAATAAGACAAAAGTGATAATAGATAGGATTTACAAAAACAATTTTAATATTACATGCAATATACAAATAAACTTGTATGTATAAGTAAATATTACGAAAATATTTTTGTGTCAGATTTACAATAGTTATTACATATTCGCTTTATAATAAGTTCTCTCTCTCTCTCTCTCTCTCTCTCTCTCTCTCTCTCTCTCTCTCTCTCTCTCTCTCTCTGTGTCATAACATAAAATATATCCAAGTATATTTATAAAGAAAATATAATCATGCGTAAGTTTTATCGAAGCATTACTTAAAACGTAGCACAAATTATAGATGTAGAAATCGTCATTGTGCTTTCTATTCTAAATTTATAAAGTATATCATATTTAAGTATCAACATATAACATTTTCAAATTAATTATAATCTATTTGCCAGATTTAACACAAGATAATATTATATTAAAGTTGTAGAGACAAATATCCTCGAGCGAGGTAATCAAGTTACACAGGATCGAATATCGATTCCGATGATCACGGGGGATCAGGAATAAGTTGGAGGAGTTGAATCTCACTTTCATGCAAAGCGCAGAGACCACTTCTCCACTTGAACCATGACACCCGCCACATCTCGGGAACGACCGATTTCGAAATAAAAGATTCACCGAGGGGGGAACACATTGATGGCTTATGATTATGAGACGACGTGAAACCGCGCAACCCTGAGCTGGAAGAGTTAGATCTGACAAGTTATCAAGACCTACTGGTCGCTCACTGCCTAGATCCTCACTTCCAACTGAAAATCACGCGGATATAAGGATTCCGAAGAGAATACGGAGAGCGAATAACGAATAAAGGATTCGCAATTCACGTGCCTGTCGCCTCCCAGAGGCGGTTGACTCTCTCTGTCTGTCTTAATCTTGCGCTAAGTCGTCTGATGATAACGAGACTTTATCCCGCCAAGGCTCTTCACGGCTCTTCGCGGACGCACAGGCGAATGGAAATCCAGTTGGCTCATCTTCTTAGAAGAGGACTACGAATGAAATTCATCACCGCAAAACCCGAGCAATTGATTTCGCGACTCAAGGACGATGTCGCGCGAAGGCCATGCTTCGACTTGATCGTGCGATGGAAACTATGATCATTTCCAGTGCGAAACGTGATAAAGTCGTCACCAGGGATTCGATGATAAGAGACTTGGGAGCATGTAGAGACGTACAGAGGTAACCGAACTTGCTGCGGTGTGTGTTGTAAAATTACATGAAAGCGAAAAAGATAATCCGATCACTGATGAGCGCAGGGTGCGTATCGGGCCCTATATATACCTGAGGCAACTGATAGAAAAACCTCGTTCCGAGGACCCTCATCGACATCGATATCGAAGCCACACCCCGATAACGATAACGGCATGTAGTGATATATACTTTTACATTTCTCGTTCTTTATTTCACAAGCCGTTCTCCGCTTCACTCAATGCCGGAAACGCCAACCGAAAATGAGAGATCTCGCGTCTTTCAAAAGTAAGTGCTCCTCCCCCTCGTCTGTTATACTTTCTTAAGAGATGGATATAAAAAACCACAAAAGGATTATTGCGCATAATAATAATGCGCGTAATAATAACAGGGGGATTGTTGTTGTTCTACTCAAGTACAACACTTTATTGTCCTTTCAGTAGGAAGGACGATATAAAAATACTTGCTAGGAAAAATACTAACCGGATGCGTCCTTGTACGAGACGCGCATAGATAAATGTTTGCGTTATTCGTGATGTGACGATAACGATTTTTTGATGACTGACACAACTTTATCTTCATTAACTTCGGACTTCCAAATCGTAGTTCCAATGAAGAAAAACGAAGAAAAAAAAAAGATAATCAGAGAAAGCCTACGTTCCATGCCTATTATCGGACATGAATCCATCGGATTCACCAAGAGAACTTTGAAATTCCGAGACGAATGAAACGAGCGCGCAACGTCATCATCACGTAAATTCATGAGATGAGTGAGAGTGTTTATGCATTCATTTTCATTTCAATTCGATCTGATTAATTATAATGCAAACGTTAGAGCACACATAATTTGCAAAGTCAATGAATGCCGAGGACACGTTTTTACGCATTATCAAATTGATTAAGAAGTATAAAGATTACACTTTTTTTTCTATTTCTAAGAGAATAAAGTTATCAATCGACTAAATTATTTCTCGTTGTGGAATAAAATATAATTATATCGTATAAAATATATATCGTACACAGTTGGCGTATTATTGAAATTTAATCTTTTGATTAGCGCAATGTGTTACAGGTAATGAGTAAATCAGATAACAGTTATCTAGTTACCGTGAATTTATGTTAGTATTATATTTGTATTACGAAAATATGATACAAATTTTAATTATCAAGTATATATCATAAAATAATAATTTCCCGTTTATCTGAGATTTATAAGAATTTGTATAAGAATAATAATTTGTGGTAATTTTCCAAATTTTAAGATTTAAATAATGTAATATAGTTAAATAAAAATCGTATTTTATATTACATAGCTGTATTATCAAGCAAATAAACATGATTAATTGTTATAGATCCAATAAATTACATTCGCTCGGCGGGCAAGCCGCTTTGTCCGGCTTGAACGCGCCCATTTTTGTTATTTACTGTGTGTGTGTGTGTGTGTGTGTGTGTGTGTGTGTGTGTG